CTTCTCTTAGGGCATTTTGGAGTATTGGTGGTTTAGGATTGATGGCTAAATCTTGGAATTGAAGTGGTTGTGATTTGGCTATCAGAACTTTCTCTTCTTAATTGGGAGATGATTTCTTCTCTTTCTCAGGGAGTTCATTATGAATGCTAGTGCAGGGAGTCTTTCCACTAATTTTATCCAGCATAGCCCTTGCTTCACTAGTAGAAAAAATGAAGGAAAGCTCCTCTAGAGGCTGCATCAAGGGATTCCATGGAATCCTTGCTAAGACCCATGTAAAAATATTGAAGAAGTACAGGGTCTTGAATGGCAAGGTATGGGCCAGTGATGATGAAATCATTAATACGTTCCCATGATGTGGCAAGAGATTCTTCTTCTAGTTGTCTAAAATTTAGAACATCTTTCCGAAGGCTAACCACTTTAGAGATGGGAAAGAAACGTAAATAAAATTTAGAGCATAACGTTTCCCAATCTTCTTGCATACTCCCTACGGTTTGACTGTACCATTGTTTAGCTCTTCCTGTCAAAGAGAACGGAAATAACTTCCATCTCAAGGTCTTGTCAGACATGTCAGCAATACACAAGCATGCACAGGTCTGTTCAAACTCTTGTAGGTGTGAGTATGGGTTTTCGTTGCCTCTTCCCGAGAAGGATTTATCCCATATCAATTTTATAAAACACAGGCACAGCTCATAGCTAGATATTAGGATAGGCTCTGAAGATTTTGGTGGCTCTAGGCTTGCGCTTGTTGGTTTAGCATATTTATAGATCGGAGTGGAATCTATGCTAAAAGAAAAAGTAAAATAAAACAAAGAATAAAAGATAAAATGTTAAGCTAGACTCGAAGTTAATTCATCAACTGTTTCCCCTGCAACGGCGCCAGAAAGCTTGTTGGTATATTTAACGCACACAGATAAATCCGCAAGCGCACAGATACCATTGTAGCTTTCACCCGAAAGTATTCCAAGTATCGTATCCACAGGAAAACGTGTGAGACTAACTATAATCTAACTTAACTAGGGATAGCAACAAGGTTGAGATAAATAGGAGCGTAGAGAGGAAAAATAAGGTTCTCTAGTTTTGAGTTGGGTAAGCAATTTCTTCTACTATTCAACTAGGGACATTACTAGGGAAAGACACCAGCAGAGGATGCTTTCCTTCGTAATCGCGTCCTACTTGCGCCTACAGATGGGAGGTGGACTACAAAGGATCAACGAAGCTATATAGTACATGCTATATAGAACTAATGTCACACACGCGATCTACCACCATCCGGAATGCAATGTGCATCCACGATTAATTTAAGTCTAAGCACTACGCTTACACTTACGATTAATACTTTAACCTAGAGCGTCTGTAGATTAAAGCACTCAAAAGAGAGTCGTGATCCTGATGAACAATATAAACAATTACTTACTTAAATCAGAAGTTGATTACCAGGGAAATCTCGAAGGCAAGCTCAAGTAGAACTTGGATATGCCAATGTACAAGACGTAGAGAGAGCAGCGACAAGCCGACATCTCCTCCAAACTCTTCCCTCACTCTCTATCTCACTATTATTTACAAGACTAGATCCTATAGAGGACTAATCTTCTCTTGATAGCTGGATCTGATCCTGATGATATGAATTAGGGTTTCAGAATGGCTCTAGAGAGGGTGGCAGGGGCTGGTATATATAGGGAATGGATCTGATCCTCATGATATTAATTAAGTATAAATGTAGGATATGTTGAAGGTTTATAATTGGTGTTAGTGACCGTCACCAGCAGGTGCGTAGTAGACCGCGTCAAGCAGTCGCTTGACCGCCGCTGCATAGTAGCACTTGGAATAGCGTGACTCCAAGCATGTTACAAGTTAACTCTGGATTCCTTGGAGGAGCAACTATGAGTATAAACATTAGTTGTGTGGAGTGATTGTGTCCACTAGGTGGACCGAGATGTAAACTTGTGTAAGGGGGTCTGATTTATTTGAATATAATTGTATTAGCTGAGTTCCATTTACTGGTCCGGTGATGGGTTAATAATTGGAATACCATGTGCCACTTAACCTGGTCCTGAAGAGGAGTTGCTAGTGCGCTCCTGGGGGCCTCGAAGTTGTTAATTCGACATCCCCGTCGGCTTCGGTATCAATCCCTGACGGGGCAGGTATCGGGGTGCGACAGCCTTCTCCAAACACTAGCATCCCTGTGAGGTGCTTTGTGCAAGGAGGAAGATAAAGCACCTCTAGGCGATGAAGAAAGATGATTAGCTCACGAGTGTGTGGATTGAGTCCAAGAGGTGCATCCAGACCCGGGTTAAATAGGCCAACCTTGAAGATATAGAAGTGCAAGTAATGGTGATGCAACTGTGTTGTGGGTAGATGAGAAATAACTCAGGCTGACTTTACCGCCGGTAGACCAAACAGTCATGTTCCCAGTCTGCTCGGCTTTTCATACGATGAAGAAAATACCACTGCCTCATCTCTTGTTAACTTGTCGGTGGTCGAAGTTTCAACTGTCGGTTTCCTTCCTTATGAGGCCTCGCTATCGGTCCAACTGACGGTGAAAGTATCACACCGTCGCTTCTATCGCTGTGTCAGTGAAAGTGGCGACAGTGGTATCGTAATCTGTAGTAGTGTCAAATGGTTTGGAACCAAAGTTTTTAATTGGTTTTGGACCGGTTTTGATTGAAATAGTATAGTGGACTGGGTTAGTGTCGTTGGAACAATCCTGTTGGTGGGCTGGATGAGTTTTTGAGGTTGAGCTCATAACAAATAGATGGGGGTGCGTTCAGATTGCTTAGCCGTATGTCAATATATATGTGCTTTGTATGACGATGGAGAGAGAGTAGTACAGTACTGTAGCATCTAGTCCGGCAGTTTTCTCCTCTCTCCATCCCTACTGGTCTAGTACTACTGGCCTCCTCGGGCCTCGGCTTCAGCTAACGTGCAAGCTCATGTAGCCTTTTTCTCTTTCAGACAGGTAAACCTGGTAATTTTTTGGTCCAAAGTTAGTTTTCTTAATTGGTTTCTCATTTGGCCTGCATGGTTTGAGTGGCAATGGGCAGAAGAGTGGTTTGTTTTGGCTAGTAGCTATAATGGACTGGTTAGGTTTGGAATCTGCTGATTTTTGTACCTGGAATGTTTGAGAATGAGATCGTGGTTCTGCTAACAGATTTAGACTGAAAATGATTGCCAGGGTTACTGTATTTGTTTTTTTATAGGAAAACGGCCATAATGTGTAGCATGATGTCATGCTGACGTCGACAAGCTAGTAACGAAGCAGAGCACGCTCAGCCGTCTGCTCGCTCCGCGCCGTGCAGCAGCGCGTGGCACCGCACATGTGGGAGGACGCACACGTACGTCCATGCTGAGCTCAGCCACGACCGGGACCTCGAGGTTGTCAGAGCTGCCGGCAGCGGCGTGATTGGCGGCGTATTGCCAGCGAAGGAGAGGCTCCAATTCGAAGCTACGGAACATGATTGAGGTGTCAGAAAGGAGCATGGAGGTGTCTATGTGCTCACCTTTGTCGGGGAAGCAGCGATGGCAGTCGCTCACCTGGATATACTCACCATGTTTGGTTTTGATCCAATGGATTCAAACGGTCTGAAACCAAAGTTTTTAATTGGTCTTGGACTGGTTTTGATTCAAATAGTACAGTGGAGTAGGTTGGTGTGGTGGGAACAACCCAGTTGGTGGGCTGGATGAGTTTTTAAGGTTACGCTCATAACGAAGGGAGGTTTAAACAGAATGGTTTGCCTCCGTGGAGGCCATGATTGCGTGTGTGCCTATTTCGGCGCCTTCTCTGTTGTGCGATGGCTTTGCGGGATCTGCCTTTCCTAACATTCCTTTCCCAACCAGAACCAAACCAGAGAGCAACATTTGTGCGTGTGAGCTTATGTAATCGTTGTCCATGTTTTGAAGCCAGTTGCGTCTGCTGCTTCCGCATCCCGAGGAGGGCTGTAAACCGGACCCTTCAGATTACATGGAACAGTAGCAAAGTATAGATGATAGTTACACAACACTAGTTACAGTTCAGTGAAAGCACTGAAGGATATCTCTTTACCTATTACGTCTGCTGAAAACACAAGATGATAACGAATAATCACTAGTGATTTTTATAGGAGTCAGAGGACACCTTTGTTATCAAACCGGATAATGCATATCACAATCGTTAAGACAGACACATCAACGGGACAGTGACAACCCTGAATCCATCCAAGTTCCGGTATTTTGTGCTTTCTTCCAAATGATTGCGCATACTATGCCGATGCACATCACTGTCCAGAAAGACAAGTGAGGAACTACAGCAAGAAAAGTGCATAAATGAACACACATGTATACCACACGTATGTACAACAGGCCGAATACATTTATCTTTCTTCACATCATCATCATCATAGTCTGCAAACAACATTTCGGTCGATGAAAAAAATCATATACAAATACAATCTGCTATACCTGATATTTTCTTGGTTTTTAATGAAACCTTGAAACAATGCCAATGCATGCATTGAACTGGCCACGGTCAAATGGTGGCATTGCTGCACATTATCACACGCATCTTCACCATAGAATAGAATAGTTACAAGGTAACTGGACAAAACAAGCTACGGTTTTCTGGGATGCGTATACTGAATCAGCTCAATCCAATTATATATCACACAGAAATGCTCATACGATTCCGAAGGTGTAAAGATATTGTACAACAGAGACTAAGATCCTCGTCAGAAGGTAAAGCTCAAGTTTAGCATGGAAGTCAGTTGGTGCTGTTAGTCGTGTGAAATAAAATGGTGCCGGGTTCTTGTCACTTGCCCATATGTATGGATCTAGCTAAACAGAATCAGAAAACCACGCGGACATAAGACTCCTTACAAAAAGCATTGGGTTCAGTAAGAGCAACTGGTGAGTGATATAAAAAATTAAAATGAAAGAAATCATCCATAATGAGAACAATATACATGATTTATATGTAGCAGAGTTAGCCATCAATGTTTTGAAACCAAAGTAGGCATCCGTATCATCTGTCATTTTTCGACAAAGAATGTAACAATCATTGCCATGACAAGTATGTTATCATTTGCAGGGAAAATAGTCTTCTTGAGTTTGTACAAGAGATTTGTCTGCACAAAGAGACAATTCACAATTGTTGTGATAAACTGATAGAAAAAATCTTATTCAAAAATGATATATAAAATAATACTTTTATATAAATCACTGAAGTTACTGCAAAGAACATTTACTGAATCTTGCTAACACAGTTGCTCCATATTACCTGAGCAACGATGGAGTCCCCCTTTATTATTGTGCACGCTCTTCGGAATGTACTTCCTATGAGCCTGTAGCTTGGTTTTGAATCTTCAACGGTGCTTCTTGGTGAGATGAACACATGTACCTCCTTTCGACTTGAAGAAGCAGATATAACTTCTGCAGTGAAAATGATGTGAGTCTGCTCCAAACTATTTCCACTGAATGCTTGCCACTCGCCCTGAATAAAGGAAAAATATGATACACAGCACTATATCAGTCTCCATGGATCCATGTATTCAAGTTCCTGAAAATTGAACATTCATAGTGAAACACGTATGAGCGAACCACATGAAAATAATGCCATTAGATTTTTCTTCAAAAATATGCTATGATGTCTTTGTACTACCTTTACAAGTGTTATAATGAGGAAACATAGTTAAAATCTTGCCCTTGGATCATGAAAGTAAAATGTGATCTATTTGACCAAACAATTAACACCCTCTTCAGAAATGAACTAGAAAAGATGAGTCAAAATTTAAAGAAATCTTCCATGCACCACATATTAAAAACTCTCTCTAGAACCCATATGTGTTGGGCATTCCTTGATGTACTAAGGGTGTTTTCTTTTTTTTATGTCTTTCAATCCTGCACTAGCTATTCAGATGTGGTTCGTACTCTGTGATAAAAACATCACAGTTTTTAAACACGAAAGTAGACAACTGAGGTTCTGATTTGTGGCTGTTAGATTATTACTAACTATTTGTCGTGCTGGGCGACATATAGGAGCAGAGAAGCCGTGTCTTGTAAGCAGTTAGCGTAAAGATCTATTTACGTTTTCAATTTAGACACTGTCGTGTGGGCCCTGATGGCCAGTCTTTGTAAGAGCACATAAGTGCTGAACCATTTACTGTACCGGCAGACAATCATCAGAAATTAAAACAGCCAAGGAAGAGGGGTTTACCCTGCCGGCGTCCTCGTCACTGGTTCCTCTTGTGTGTGCTCACGTCGACGGCGATCGCCGGCGGCCAAGGGTGTGACAAGTGGTATCAGAGACACTCTATCCTCGGCGTGGGTGACAAGCGCAACGCTCTTCCAAGAATCCTTTACAATTGAAACAGATGCTTGTCATGATGGCATTGGAGCTGTGTTGATGCAGTAAGGTCAACCCATTGCTTATCTTAGTAAAGCCTTGGGAGAGAAACATAAAGCATTATCCATATATGAAAAGGAGTTCTTGGCTTTGATCATGGCAGTGGAAAGGTGGAGAGCTTATTTGCAAAGACAAGAGTTCATCATAGTGACAGATCACAAATCCCTAGCCTATCTCAATGAACAAAATCTACACTCTGAGATGCAAAGGAAAGCAATGACAAGGCTAATGGGACTACATTTCAAAATTGTCTACAGACAAGGCAAAGAAAATGTGGCTGCTGATGCCCTCTCTAGAGTAGCCCATCTTATGTCATTACAAGCTGTGTCTTCAGTGCAACCTGCTTGGATACAGGAAGTTCTGAATTCTTATACCACAGACACTCAAGCCCAACAACTCCTGACAAGGTTAGTCATTTCCAGTCCAGATGCCCAGGGTTACAGTTTGGATAGATGATTGATAAGGCACCATGGCAAAGTCGGGATTGCTCAAAATGCAGCACTTCAAACCAAAATCCTTGATGCCTGTCATTCCAGTGCTCTTGGAGGACACTCAGGTATTGCTGCTACCTACCACAGACTTAAAAGGCACTTTGCTTGGAAAGGTATGAAACAAGATGTGGAATCCTTTATCAAAGAGTGCTCTGTCTGTCAACAGTCCAAACACTCAAACAATCATCCATTGGGCTTACTCCAGCCCCTACCAATTCCAGAGAGTGTATGGAGGGATTTGTCCATGGACTTTATAGAAGGATTACCAAATCCCAGGGCTTCGGTGTCATCTTGGTGGTGGTGGACAGGCTTACTAAGTTTGCCCATTTTCTGCCAGTCAAACATCCATACACTACAGCAACTATTGCCCAGCTTTTCATGGACAATGTAGTCAAACTACATGGATTACTAAGTACAATAGTCATTGACGGGGACACTGTCTTTCTCAGTCACTTTTGGAAAGAACTCTTTAAGCTGTATAAAGTCAATCTCCAACTAAGCACTGCCTACCATCCACAAACAGATGGACAGACCGAAAGAGACAACCAATGTTTGGAAATGTATCTCCGGTGCTCTGTGCAAGACTCCGCAAAAGCTTGGACTCAGTGGCTGTCATTAGCGGAACTGTGGTACAATTCATCCTATCACACTGCCCTGGGATGCTCGCCTTTTAAGGCTCTGTATGGCTATGAGCCCAATGTGGGGGCAGTTCCTACTGTCCAAGCTTCAACATCCAATACTGTCGCTGAGATCATTGAAAACAGGGAGTTGCACTTACAAGCCCTAAAAACTAATCTAGCCAAAGCACAGAACCATATGAAGTTGCTGGCCGATCAAAAAAGGCAGGATTATCATTTCTCTGTTGGCGATCAAGTGTTGCTCAAACTCCAGCCATACACACAATCCTCAGTGGCTAACAGACCCTTTCCAAAGCTCGCTTACAAGTACTTTGGACCATATACAGTACAGGAGCGCATTGGAAATGTGGCCTATCGGCTTGAATTGCCAGAAGGATCTTTAATTCATCATGTTTTTCACATTTCTCAGCTAAAGCCTTTCATTGCAGACTATACTCCTGTGTATGATACACTTCCAGTGACTACCGACTTGGAAGCTGCAGCGGCAAAGCCTGAAGCAATCCTGGAGCGCCGGTTGGTCAAGAAAGGCAATACGACGATTTCTCAAGTCAAGGTCACCTGGACCGGTCTACCAACATCAGCTACGACTTGGGAAGACTACAATGTGATCAAGAAGAGATTCTCAGATGCGCTGGCTTAGGGACAAGCGGCAGCTCAAGGGGGGAGAGATGTCGTGCTGGGCGACATATAGGAGCAGAGAAGCCGTGTCTTGTAAGCAGTTAGCGTAAAGATCTATTTATGTTTTCAATTTATACACTGTCGTGTGGGCCCTGATGGGCAGTCTTTGTAAGAGCACATAAGTGCCGAACCGTTCTTGTCTTACGGCGAGACAATCATCGAAATTAAAACAGCCAAGGCGGCAGAGGGGGTTTACCTCGCCGGCGCCCTAAATCCATCGGTTCCTCTTTTGTGTGCTCACGTCGACGGCGATCGCCGGTGGCCAAGGGTGTGACACTATTCAAGGTGCATCCGAATTGCTGAATTGAAGATATGTTCAGCAGTTGCAACATCTTCCCCTCAAATTCAGCAGGACACTCTGTCCAATTATACAAGCTAGATGTTCAATCTTGTTACAATACCACTCATTTGTTGCAAAGATCACACTCATCAAAAGTCTCCAACATGAGTAACATTTTGCGGTCCAATTCAGGACCATCACATAGGTAGAAGCAAATTTAAAACCACAACAAATATTTTTCCGTCTTTGAATCTACTGTCACACAATTTCCTTAGACACGTTCCAATCTTGCGCTTCCTAATAAATCTCCTCAAATCCTACTCCAACTTTCTTACACCTCATCCAAGAAACAAAATTAGTTATCCTCAATCCACAACCATGGACCAAACCTAGTATCTGAGCAGGAGCAAAGAAGCCGATAATCACTGGCCATTGCTTCCCGACGGCGCACCAGACACCTCCAGCGTCATCCTCGAGCGTCGTGGCCCTCACCGGCTGCCGCACGACGCTGCGAAGGCGAGGCGGGCAGTCGCGTCGTGCATCGCCATCTCGGGTCCCTTCTTGACGACCTTGAAGTCCACCGGACGACGGCCCAAGCCACGGGCACGCGATCATACGGCCGGCCCGCAAGCAGTGGCGGGCGCAAGTGGGGTGCTGCTCCATATCAAGATTAAGGACCAAGAAGCAATAATCAGGTGAGTCGGAAGAGGATTTTCCAGGGAAAAGGCGCGAGCAGGTGGGTTGGTGGAGGTAGGGAGGAAACCAAACGAAGGACGGGAGAGATCGAAAAGCTCTGAATAGAGTTAACTTGATTGATTAGTTGTTGCGGTGGCGGCCAGCGATTGCGTGGTTGCGTTTGGATTTTTTTCTTGGCGGAGCCGACCAGCTGACGCGGACGGCGACCGTTGATTCTCCTTCCTCTAGACGGCGGAAACAGGATGCGTACGAACCTGCATCCAGCATCCCCTTCCGTGCACTATGCCAGATTCTTACAGCAGGAACAGGGACATTTTTACTATAGGGGCGGCTGGGGTTGGGGGCGCCCGTACAGTGGGCGTCCTCGGGCCCCAAAGCCCACCGCCTTTGAGATGTCAACTGTAGGGCGGCTGGTAACCCGAGCCGCCCTACAGCTTAGGGGCTGATCTGTGAGGCGGCTCAATCACCACCGCCTCTGCGGAGATGTCACCAGAGGGGCGGCTCAGTTACCACCGCCCTTACAAGCATGGGCGATCAGTAGGGGCGGCTCAATCACCACCGCCCCTCTGGTTCCAAGCAGAGGAGCGGGTGAATCACCACCGCCCCTCTTGATGGGGCACAAATAAATAGCAGCCACCCCTTCTTCCACCTCGGGACACACTCTTCTACACAAAAAAAAGGTTGAGAGGCCTTGGGCTCCTCCTAAAAATTGCTCTACTAAGGGGGAAGGTTTTGATCTTAAATCCTTTAATGGAGAGGCTCTAAAAGGTAAGGAAATGCTTCTCCAACTCTTTATTTAAGTTTAATTCGTTGGTTAGTGAGTAATTTGATTTTAGGTTTTCTCTCTCTTCCATGGAGCTTGAGCTAGTTATGAGTGAAATTAGACCCTAATTTTCACTATACTAGAGTAAATTAGGTAGGAAAGTAAGATTGCACCCTTTATTAGTACATCTTTGTTGATTTTAGTGTAGTATTAGTGAAGTTTGGTGCATGTGTCATGAAACCCTATATCTAGATCTAGGATTTTGTTTTTTTTTCTTTTTCAATTTTTCCTTTATGTGACTAGGGTTTGCATGTAGGTGAATGTGTAAGATTTTAATTGTTGCTAATGTGTAAAATATCCTCTACCATGGCTACTAATTATCATTTAATATTTATTTTGATTCCTTTCTATAATGTGTGTTTTATGTGACTTGGATGTATGGTTCGTTAAGACACGACGCTCTTTTCCATGATGAGGTGGACAAATTTATCAAAGCCGCAGAGAAGCATGCAGCGACGTTGAAAGAGAATAGCGACACGATTATTTGTCCCTGCAAAGATTGCAAGAACCTTATTGCATTTCGAGATGTGAGTACCATCAAAGAACATCTGATTAGAAGAGGATTTGTTCTGGACTATATAGTGTGGATTTATCATGGTGAAACAAAGGTGGTTGTTAATGACAAATGACGATGATCTAGTGATGAAGTTTGAACCCAAGCATACTTGTCCCGATTCACGCATTTATCTTGAGCAACAAATAGATCGTGACTATGGTAATCAACAAGGTGGTGGCTTTGGCAATCAACAAGGTGGTGGCTTTGGCAATGAACAAGGTGGTGATGATGCTAGTGGTGCCAAAGAAATGATGGCGAAGCACGTGAGGGGGATGTAGATGACGGTGACAACTTAGACGAAATGCTTGGGGCCTTTGGACCGTAAATATTAGAAAAGAGCAAGAGAGGTCTAGAAAATCTTGAGAGGGTGACAAAAGTATCGAAGAAGACCGTGTATGATGATCTTTGAGAAGGGTTGTCCGACATACTTCGCACTGGTACGTTTTGTGCTTGAGCTACTCATCCGGGAAACAACATATCATCGGAGTTGATGGCGTGGACGATGTTGAAGCTTACAATAAGTGCAATGAGATGCCGCTATTCACAGACTTTTTATAAGAAGATCGAGGTCAGGAAAAGAACACGCCCAAAGATGTATTGCCATGGAAACGAAAAGGTGTCAAGTGGAAAGTTATCACGGTGGGCTAGCTAGTTTATGTAAGTGTGTCAGTGTTTATAAGACTACATTCATGTATGTGTATGTGAGACTACATTCATGTATGTAAGACTACATTTCAGCTGAAAAATGCAACTTCAGACAAGATTTTGGTTCCCCAAATGATTTCAGCTGAAAAAGTGATAAATACCAAAGTTGAATAACTCATCAAGATCTACAACTTTTGTATTGGTCATTTCTTCATATGACAAAGTGGTAACGACATTATTCACAAATGTGACATATCTCTCATAAGGTTTTATAAACTATATGAGACATGTGTAAGATTAGTGAATAATGTGCGCAAACCATTACACCACTCTATTAGTCCATAATCCATCTAGATTAAGCCGAAAGACTAAAGAGTAAAGCAACAAATAAGATAAAGATACAGATACATCATACATCAAACATCATACAAGCACCAATCTTCGCGGCATGAGTAGAAATAGCCAAGCTCATGGCTTCATGGGTCTCATGGAGTCATGGTCATGGATTCAAGATCTACAATCCTTATATAGGCCATTTTTTCATTTGAGAAAGTTTGAACAAAATATAGTTTAAATTTCACAAGTGTGTGACATAGTTTCAGAAAGTCTATATGAGATTCAAGAATTTGTGACTAGTGTTTGATAAAACTTTCTCAAATGGTAAAATGAGCTATGTAACAATTGTAGATCTTGCTGAGATGATCAAACTTGGTATTCAGAGTTTTTTCATCTGAGGTCATTTAGTGTCTCATTTGAGCAAGTTTGACCAAGTCAAATTTGGTCAAATGAAAAAACAACACTTTGACTCTAGTATTATGAACTCTAAATGACTTCAAATTGAAAAGTTTTGAATACCAAGTTTGTTCAACTCATCAAGATCTATAATTGTTGTTTTGGTCAACTTTCCATTTGAGATAGTTTGGACGGTTCAAATTTGTGATTTTTAAATTTCGACGTTTACAAACTAGTTTTCGGAACCCTAGATTGTCTCAAATTGAAAAGTTTGGAATACCAAGTTTATTCATCTCATCAAGATATACAATCCTTATATAGGCCATTTTTTCATTTGAGAAAGTTTGAACAAAATGTAGTTCAAATTTCACAAGTGTGTGACATAGTTTCAGAAAGTCTATATGAGATTCAAGAATTTGTGACTAGTGTTTGATAAAACTTTATCAAATGGGAAAATGAGCTATGTAACAATTGTAGATCTTGCTGAGATGATCAAACTTGGTATTCAAAGTTTTTTCATCTGAGGTCATTTAGTGTCTCATTTGAGCAAGTTTGACCAAGTCAAATTTGGTCAAATGAAAAAACAACACTTTGACTCTAGTATTATGAACTCTAAATGACTTCAAATTGAAAAGTTTTGAACACCAAGTTTGTTCAACTTATCAAGATCTACAATTCTTGTTTTGGTCAACTTTCCATTTGAGATAGTTTGGATGGTTCAAATTTGTGATTTTTAAATTTCGATGCTTACAAACTAGTTTTCGGAACCCTAGATTGTCTCAAATTGAAAAGTTTTGAATACCAAGTTTGTTCAGCTCATCAAGATCTACAATCCTTATATAGACTATTTTTTCATTTGAGAAACAGTACCTCCACCACTACCGTACGATCCGCATCCTACCGTCCCGCATCGTTCACGCGTCCAGACTTCTGGAATCACCGGCTCCCTCTTCCTCTCCGCTCTCTCAGGCCCGGCGTCTCGCCCCATCGCCCTCTTCCTCCCCGACATCGCCGCCTCCTCCTCTCTCTTTCCCTCTCCTCCACAGTGCCGCCCTCCCTCTCCCTCACACAGGCGGCGCCTGGCTCCTCTCTCCCCACAACAAGGCGCGCTCAAGCCCGGCGTCCCCGCCCTCCACCTCTTCCCCACAAATGGCATGCAGAGCGCGGTGCTCCTCACCCACAGCGGCCTCCGCCCAAAACCCAATCCATACTCCAGAGCTAGGCCAGTCCAACCAAACCCTAGGCCACCCGCGCCACGCCTCGTGCGCGTGGCATCCATGGGCTGACCGCGTCGCGGTGGGGAGCCCGGATCCGGAGCTAGGGTTCCGCCGTCCTCGGCGGCACCGCCATGGAGTGGGGCAGCGAGTCAGACGGCAGCCGCCGCAGCGCCGGCGCCAGGGCGAGGAGGAGGGGAGGAGCGGGAGGCGAGGTGGAGGTTTCGACGCCGGGGAGCTGGTGGGATGTTCACGTTCATGATTGAAGGCATGTTGCACGCATCCGGGCCGTCTTGGGCTCGTAGTCACCGACGCGCGCTCGAGCCCGGCCGCCCCATCATCTACGTCAACCGCGGCTTCGAGGAAGCCACGGACTACACGCGCCCGAGGAGGTCCTCGGCGAGAACTGGTCGGTGCTACCTTATCCCATATCCTTTCATTTCAATTAAATCACGCAACTAGTTTCATTTTGGTTGCAAGGATTGCTCTGTGCCACTTAGAATCACACGTGAACCTCATCGTTAGTTTTTTTTTAGCTATATATATGTTGTATAAGCATCTGCGGTCATGATTTTGTTTCTTAGAAACGAGCTTAGGTTTGGTAGGTCCTCATTTTTGTCATTAGACTAGTCTCCCCTTTCAACCGGTCACACACCGGTTTCATTTGGTTGGAAGGATTAATCTGTGCCACTTAGAATCGAGCAAAACTTCATCATTATCTTTTAGGTCTTTACTTAGCTATACGTTGTAAGCATCGATTGTTGTCATGAATTTGAGTAAGAGAGCTTAGGCCGGGAGGTGCTCATTTTAGCTATTAGAATACGCTTCCTTTACGTGAAATAGCAAGTGCCATCTTCTTGCTATTGTTAGGTGCAAGGGTTGGCCTCCTCTTGCTATTGTTAGATGCAAGGAAGCAAAACGTAGTATTACTTTTTTTGTTTGTTTTGTC